TTAGATAGTTCTTGTGGTCATTTGTCTTGGATTTTAACCACTAAAATTATGTACAGATTCTTTCTATAGAAAATGATTATTTCATATTACTGATAACTTCACTCCTCTCCAATCTTCTAGTAGAGTTATATCACAATTCTTTTGTAAATCAATATTCAGTGGCTTATCATGTATAGATGAAATTACATGATGGACTATGATTACATTCCCTTTCTTGTATGTTTTTGTCTGTCTTAGAGTTACTAACTCTCCTTCTCCCCGTTCTTGCTTAATTTTCTGTTTTCTATCATTAATTAATTCCCACTTTGTCACAGCTATACGAATTTTTTTCAATATGGGCAAACCTTCCATCCTCAAAAACCAATCTAGACTACCTACTATGGGACTGCCACACAGATTCATCCCAGAACCTTCTTTCTTGTTTTGGGAATTCCACTTTTCTGGGTTGGAACTCCAGTTTCCTGCATCTTTGGTAATCCTCTTTCTGAATTTTCTCTTCTTTGATAAAGCATATCTTTCAGTAGAATACTGAGAAACTGCATTTGAAGCAAAAGTTTCAAGTCCTTTAACACTGAAGGCTTTATTTTGTCTTACAGTTTATTGATCATTTGGGGGTTGCTTAGAATGTAAATTGCAAATCAAAAATTTCCCTCAGATAGTTCAAGATAATTTTCAACAGTCTTCGGGCTTCTGGTGTTGCTTTTAAGAAGTCTATTTCAATTTAGACTCCATATCTTTTATATGAGAGTTGCCTTTTTCTCTCTGGATGGTTTTAGGACCTTTTCTTTACCTTAGGTACTTTGAAATTGCATAGTGAGGTGCTTTGTAGCTTTTCCCCCTTACCGGTGCTTGAGTGTGTCTTGTCATCAGGAAACTATGTTCTTCAATTCTGAGCAATTATCTTGAATTATTTCTTTGACATATTTCTTTATTTTCTCCAGTCTCTTCATATGGAGCTCCTATTTATCAGAAGTTGGTTCTTGCATACTGCTCCTCTAATTTTCTAGTTCTTTCCTATTCCTCTTTGATTTTTGGATGTGGGAAATTCCAATTTTTCCCTCCTAAATCCAATTCTACATTTAAAATCTGTTGCTACCATATTAATGTCTAGGAGCTTTTTCTTATTTTCCATTCTTGTTTTATGGAGGCACTGTGTTACCTCTCTTTGGATATTACCAATAGAAATTTATAAAGTTTCCTTTTGTCCCAGGGTTGGCAAACTACAGTCCACAGAGGAAATCTGGACCACATCATATTTTTGTATAGCCTACAATCTAGGAATGGTATTTACATTTTAAAAGGTTAAAAAATAAAAAACAAAAAAGAATATGGATGCAGGCTGTATGTAGCCTGAAAAACATAAAACATTCTTGTCTGGCCTGTTACAGTTTGCCAACCCCTGTTCTATTACACTGTTTCTGTTTTCTACAAGTTCCTCCACCTTCTGGTAGTCTCTTGTGATATTTTAAAGCAATCCATAGGTTCCAAGGCATCAGACCAACGTAAGACAGGGTTGTTACCTGTCTTAGAGAAGACTACTGCACTTTCCTGCCTTGAAGATATAAGATTGTCAGCTGAGGGAGAAAAAGAGAATAGAGTTCTCACATTCAATAGGTAGACTTTTCTTACCCCCATCTTTAACCCCTTCTTAGCTGTACCCACAGTTAAAGAATATATAGACTCTCTAGTTCATTATATCCAGAGAGTAAACCTGGATGGAGCAGGCTGTCTAACTACTTCTTATACTAACATGTAACCAATTCTAGAATAGCTCCAAGTCCTCTAAGTTTTTCTATGCTTGAATCTGGAAGATCTTATTAGCTTTCATGACTACAGATTTAAATTTCAGCTTTCTCTTGCCTGTTATGTCATTCATTCATTCATCTGTTTTTCTGTGTTCAAAATTTATTGACAGTTCATCTGTTACTATCTCTTCTCCCACTCTTTTCATGTCTATAGATTTGACATTTTTATTCCTATAACATCATGGGATTTTGAGAGGGGGTGAAAATTGATATAAATGTTTGATTTCTCCATAGGGACTTTAAAAATCTAAATTTTATATGATACTCTTCTGTGATATTTTAAAGTAATCCCTAGGTTCCGAGGCATCAGACCAACCAAAAAATTGGAAGGGCAGGATAGGAAGATGGATACTGTCAATTGTTATATAACAATTATATATATATGACACTATATAACAATATAACACTGTTTATAAAACAGTGTTGAAAATCAATGTAAAGTCAGGGTGCCATTCTATCGTGATCCCACTTTGGTTTAAGTTTAAAGTGTTCTATAACAAAAAGGCATTAAGTTAACAAAACAGTTCAGAGAAAAAGGTTTCACCTTTTCTTTTTCCCATTGTTTTCATACTGCCTTGCTCAAATGAATTATGCCCACTTGAGACAAAGATTATACTTCAGTAAAGCAGAACCGTTAGGAAACTTATAGTGCAGTTGTAACCTGGTCACAAAACCATCTGGTACATTCCTGAAAGCTGTTATTACATTTCATGGGCTTATATTACTTCAAATACGCTAAGAGTCCCACGTGGGCTTAAAAAAAAGATAACATTTTTTAAACTCAATTTGTTTCTGCTTATTTTAGTCCTTCTAGACAAATCTCTTATAAGAACAGTGCCTTAGTATAAGCACCTTTTATGTCAATCAATACACATTATGAATTTTACCATATGATGTAAAACATTCACTTGATTTTTTAGTGGATGTTTCTTTGTAATAAGTTGCTACTTGTTGATTCTACTTCTCTAAAAATCAGTAAAATAACAGGCTGTCACTTTTTAATTAATGAAATAATGAAACTATAGTATTATATATCAATATTATAAACACAAGCTTTTCTGAAATTCTTGAAAAGTATGTTTCAAAGCTCTAGAAACTCTCTGGTCAATATGGTATAGCTGGAAAAGCACTGAACCTGGCATTTTTCACTAATTCAACAAGTACATACTTTGCATCTATGCCCCAAGATGAGACACAGTTGCTAAGAATGTAAAAATGTCTAATACATGTTTAGAGAAGGAGACAGATATATAAACAGGCTATCCCAATATAATGAGATATATGTTACAATAGAGATAAGTATAAAATGCTATGGGTTTCCCACAGAGTAAATAACTCTAGTTGGAGAAATTTTAAAAAGTCTTCATAAAGGACATGACCTCTTCAACTAGGTTTTAACTGGTAAACTTCCCAGATGAATTGTATGGTAACTTGAATGTGAAGGCAAAGAGTAATGAAAGGATATGGTATATTTATAGTTTAATAATGAGATGTTTATATTTAATAGAACTTTAGTGGATACAGGTAGGGTATAAGGATGAAAAAGCAAGTATTAAGGTTTTAAATGTAGGTGGGGTCAAGACGTGAAGGTGCATTTAGCAGCTATGTGACATTAGGCAAGTAATTTCATCTTCACAACCTGCTTAATATATGTAGAAAAAGTTTATAAGTGACAAAATAAGATACAAATATACTTTTGCTTCAAAAGGTTTCTGAAAATTCAAGACATTGCTCATACTGAGAAACAAAATAATCAACTGAGCTAAAAATATTTATTTTCCTGAAATTCAGCATAGTAACTAAAAGTCAAGAAATTTAAAACAAATATTCAAGTTCCCCTAGAAATTATTTGTTGAATATTAAAATTCTAATACAACCAACAAGTCAACCAACAGGGAGAGACAAAGTAAGTAGATGGAATGCTTCAAGGACAATTTCCAGTGCAACTTAATGCCAAGTACAAGTGGGATTTCTAGGAAGAGAAGGGCAGCAACTTAACCGTATCAGTAGGTTAAACATAGAACTGAATAATTCAGTTTGAACAGAAACAACTACAGAATATCATTCTGAAATGATGGGGAAGGGAGTAGGTGATGTGTTTTAGGACTTACTTTAGCTATTGCAGTCCTATGTCATCAGCATATGTAAATCTGAACACAAATGCATTCTGGTCTGCTCAGATTAAATGAGCTAATGTGAATAAACAAGACACAAGAAAAATATAATTTCTAGATTGGTTAGGGTAGGTAATGGTTAGCTGCAGGTCTTCTGGCTAAACTGAAAACGTGTCATACGGCCATGTTTTTGTGATTTTGCCCTTAACCTGTGTTCTTCTATTTGAATTTTCTGAATTTTATTTGTATAGCTTCACAGGAAAAAACTATTATATGCGTAAACTAATTACAATTTCAGAAACAGAGAACGATATAATGCTAAATTGATTATAAATAATCTAATAATTATAGTTTCATAAATTTAAAGTGTTGATGTCTTGTTGGACAGCAGTCCCCAACCCTTTTGCATCAGGGACAAGTTTCATGGAAGACAATTTCTCCACAGATGGCAGCTGGGGGGCAGGGTGGGGGGGAGATGGTTAGGAGGGGTTTCCAGTTTCACTGGCTGCTCATCTCCTGCCAGTTCCTACAGGCCACAGATGAGAATGAGTTGGGGAACCCTGCTGTAGGACCTCATGTGAAATTATGGTATAAAATGGTGTTTTAAAAACTAGTTCCACAAAGCACAAATCTTAACAGACCACAATCTTTGGAAAAAGGAGTATTATAATTAAATTTTACTGTCAGGGCCTTGAATTCTCCAGTACCATGAACACAGTTCATTTTTAATCGTTCTTAGTTTGCTTTTTATCATCATTTGGGTTCTGATGTTCACAAGATAAAATTTTATTGTTTGGTGGTGAGCTTCTATAAACATCTACTGAGCTCTTCTGTTGTATACTCACTGACCAATCATAAATCTTTGAACTTAAGCAAATATTGAGTTTCATGTATTTCATTGACTCTTTCCACTTTCACTTCTGACATCTATCACTGAAAATATACCAGTACCGAGTGTTCCAGTAAAATAAAATTCCATCAAATTTACTTATAAGGAATAAAGCAGCAAGACTAGCTGTATGCATAGTCCTGGTTGGAGATAATATTACAGTAGTGTTATATTAAATTTCACTCCACTTACCTACCAAGGGCCTGGTTTAAGGCCCTGTATGCTTGAATTTCATACCACTGACGACCTGGTAAAAGACCTCTTAATTTTGAATGCTGATCATTATACTGTCTCTTTAGTTCAACCTGTAATTTTAAAATATAAAGAATACAGTAGATAACTAAAGCTCATTTAAAAATCATATTAACTTCTAACATTTTGACTATCATTTAATTAGGGTAGAAAGATTTTTTTTTCAATACTAAACTTTTTTGGTCATTTAAAACATTTCCATTCATCTTAACACTACCTAAATTCATACATGAACATAATTAATCAGCTCTGTGATAATATCAATCAGTTTTAGACATAATTTATATATGACAAAATTCTCAAACTTTCAATGTACATGTAGATAAATTTTAATAAAAGTAACCACCCTCCCAATCATAATTTAAAATATTTTCACTTCCTAAAAATGTTTTTTCTATCCTTCTTCAGGCAAATTCCTTTATTGCTGACCTGGTCAACCAATGATCTGTTTTCTGTTTTGCTTTGTCTAGAATTCTATCTAAATGTTATTACACTGTATGTAACCATTTGTGTCTTTTTTCATCCAGCATAATGAGTCTGGAATTCATTCATGCTGAAACATACATCAGTAGTTCATTATTTCATGTTTATCTGCTCGATAATCTGTTTTTTAATTGGGATGTTTAGACTATTTATATTCAATGTAATTACTGTCACGCTCTGTTTTCAACAAGAAAAAGTGTGCTAAGCTGCCTCAGTCATGTCTGACTCTTTGTGACCCTACAGACTTCAGCCTGCCAGGCTTCTCTGTCCATGGGGTCCTCCAGGAAAGAATCCTGGAATGGGTTGCCATTTCCTCTCCCAGGGGATCTTCCCAACACAGCGATCCAACCTGAGTCTCTTACGTCTCCTGCATTGGCAGGCAGATTCTTTATTGCTATTGCCACCTGGGAAGCCCCAATTACTGTCATGATTTGGTTTAAATCTACAATATAGAAAACACATTCTTCTCAAGTACATATCAAACATTCTATAAGACAGATGGGCCACAAAATAAGTCTTAAAAAATGTAAGACTGAAATTACATCAAGTATCTTTTCCAACTATAATGGTAAGAAATAAGAAATTAATAACATTAGGAAAACTGAAATAGTCACAAGTATGTGGAAATTAAAGAATATATATCTGAACAATCAATGGGTCAAAGAAATCAAAAATAAAATCAAACAGTATCTTGACAGAAACAAAAATGGAAACACAAGAAACCAAACTATGGGATGTAGCAAAAACAGTTCTAAGAGAGAAGTCTATAGCAAAAAAAAAATGCCTACATTAAGAAAAAATAAAGATTTCAAATAAACAAAATAACTTTACATCTTAAGAAATGAGAGAAAAAGAACAAGCTAATCTCAGAGAAGGAGGGAAACTACTAAGAGCAAAAATAAATGAAACAGACCAGGAAAAAAACAGAAAAAAAAATCAATTAAAACTAAGAGTTGTTTTTAAAGATAAATAAAACTGATAAACTTTTGCTAAATAATTAAGCAGAAAATAAGGAGTCAAGCAATGTTACAAATGAAAGCAAAGATTACAACTGATATTACAGAAATACAAAGAACTGTAAGAGACAACAGACACAGAAAATCTGAACAGACCTATAAAAAAAGGACATTAAAACAGTAGTCAAAAACCTCTCAAACAAAGAAAGGCTCAGGACCAGATAACTTCATTGGTGAAACTGAAATTCTACTAAGCATTGACACCGTTTTACTAAGAATTGACACCAATTCTTCTCAAATGATTCCGTAAATACTGAAGAGAGGGGAACATTTCCAAACTTACTTTAAGAGATCCCCATTTCTCTCATACCAAAGCATGTAGGGACACTATAAAAGAAGAATTCTGAGTGGCAAAAAAACTCTTGACAGAACAGTAAAAGGATCATACATCATGATCAAGTGGGATTTATCCCTGAAATACAAATTGGTTCAACATACATAAATCAAAAAATGTGACACACCACTACCACAAAATGAAGGATAAAAATATTATCTCAATAGATGCAGTAAAAGCATTTGACAAAATTAAACATCCTTTCAGATAAAAGTTTTCAAAAATGAGGCATAGCGAAATGTAAACTCAACATAATAAAGGCCATAAAGACAAGCCCATAGATAACATCCTACTTAAAAGTGAAGAGCTAAATGTTTTTCCTCTGAAGTCAGGAATGAGAGGCGCCCTCTCTTACCACTTCTATTTAACAAAGCACTAAGTCTTAGCCAGAGCAGTTAGACAAGAAAAAGTAATAAAAGGCATCCAAATCAGAGAGGAAGAAGTAAAACTGTTTGTTTGCAGATGACATGATCTTGTATGTAGAAAATCCTAAAGATCTACCAAAAAACTCTTAGAACCAATAAATGAATTCGTAAGGTTGCAAGATACAACAATCAACATACAAAAACCAAAATAAACATACTAAATAGTGTTTCTATACATTAACAACAAACCATCCAAAAAAGAAAAAGAAGAAATTAGGAAAACTACCCCATTTACAATAGCATCAAAAAGAATAACATTCTTTGGAATAAATGTAGCCAAGGAGGTGAAAAACCTTTACACTAAAAACTATAAAACACTGATGAAAGAAACTGAAGAAATACAAATAAATGGAAAGATCCTGTGTTTATGGATAGAAATAATTAGTATTGTTAAAATGTCCTTATTACCCAAAGTGATCTACAGGTTTAATAAAATCTCCACCAAAATCAAAGTGACTTTTTTTTTATAGAAACAGAAAAAACAATTCTAAAATTCATATGGAACCACAAAAGACCCTCAATAGTCAGAACAATATTAAGAAGAAAGAACAAAGCTGAAGACAACACATTTCCTAATTTCAAACTTTGATAATCAAAAGTTTGATTTACATCAATTTATAAATTTTATTTATATTAAAAACTTTAGTAATAAAAACAATATGGTATAGGCATAAAATCACTCAGGCCAATGGAACAGAAGAGAGAGTTCAGAAGTAAATCCACACATATAGGGTTAATTAATCTTTGACAAGGGCAACAAGAACAGATAATGGAGAAAGGATAGTCTCTTTAGGAATGGCGCTGGGAAAACTGGATATCCACATGCCAAAGAATGAAACTGGATCCTTATCTTATACCATATATAAAAATCAATTCAAAATGAATTAAAGACTTAAATGTATGATCTGAGACCATAACACTCCCAGAAGAAAACAGGAAAAAGTTCCTTAGTCTCAGCAATGATTTTTTGGATATGACACCAAAAGCACAAGCAACAAAGGCAAATAAAACAAGTGGGACTACATTAAACTAAGATGCTCACACGTAACCACTGTACACAAGAAACAAATGACAAAATGAAAAGACAACCTATGGAACAGGAGAACCATACATCTGATAAGAGGTTTATATCCAAAATATAAAAGGAACTCATGCAACCAACAACCAAAAAAAAAGTAAAAAACAAAAGAAAACCTGATTTAAAAATAGCAGGTCCCAAACAGGCATTTTTTTTCAAAGAAGACTCACAAATGGCCAGTGGGTATACGAAAAGGTGTTTAACATCACTAATCATTACCAAAATGACAAAAGATGACAAGTGTGAGCAAGGGTATGAAGTAAAAGGAACACCTATACACTGCTGGTGGGAACGTAAATTGGTATAGCCATTATGAAAAATGGAATGGATACTCCCCCAAAGAATTAAAAATAGAACTACCATATAATCCAGCAATCCCACTATTGGGTATATATCTAAAAGAAATAAAATCACTGTCTTGAAAAGATGTGTGCAATCCTACGTTCACTGCAACATTTTTAACATGTGCAAGAAATGTAAACAACCCAGGTGTCATTGACCAATAACTGAATGGATAAAGAAAGTGTAAACTATACACACACACGTGTACATACAATGGAATATTATTCAGCCATAAAAAGGAAAGCTTGTCATTTGTAACAACATGAATGAACCTGGAGGATATTATACTAGTGAAATAAGCCAGACATAGAGAGAAACACAGAAACACAGCCATGACTTCACTTATACATGGCATCTAAAAATGCTAAACATATTGAACTCAAAAGTATGTGGTTAGGTAGTAGGTGAGGGGTAGAGGAAATTGGGAGATACTAGGTAAAAGAGTATAAATTATCAGTTACTTTCAGTTATAAGATGAGTAAGTTCTGGGATCTGAATGTACAGCATGGTGACTATACTCAATAGTAATGTACTGTACACTTGATATGCTAAGGCCTTAAATGTTCTCACCACACACTGAAAAAATAGTAACTATGTGAGGCAATGTTTATGTTAATTACCCTGATAATGGTAATTTTACAATATAAATTAAGTTACCACATTTTACACCTTAAACATATGCAATTTTTATTAGTCAATTATATCTCAAAGAAAATGGGGAAAAAAGAGGTCCATACAGTGCGGTGACAAACTTTCTGCCGGCTTTGATCCTGGTTTTGAAAAGATGGATCCCTTATTTCTGCGGTAAAAATCTTTCCTGGCCTCAAAACAGACCATAAATAACAATGAAAGTCAAATGAAAAACTGGAGAAGTTCTGTTACCTAATACACAATGAGCTTATACATAATCAATAACAAAATTTCACTACTAAAAGTGAATAATCTGTGAGAAATCAAGTCATCAAAGATGAATGATAAATGGCTAACTGGTAATGATAAATGGTAACTGACATGAAAAGATGTTCAACCTTATTAATAAACCAAGAAATGTAAATTTAACATTTCCATTGTTTTCATTTGTAGATACTGAAAAACATTCACCAAATGTGTTTATATTTTCCAATAACTATAGATAAAACTTCATTACATCTTTGTATTGAAGAAAATTAAGAAATAATCCAAATGGACATCAAGTGGATCAATGAAATATAGTACATTTATTCTGAGATAAATATTGGGTTACTATACAAAAAGAAATAGATCTGTATGTTCTGACATGGAAATTTAGCCAAGATATATATTTTAAATAAAAAATAAAGTAAAACACAGACAACACATACATACAAATGGCCAGGTGTCATGTTAGGAATAAGGA